TAGCTCCTCCTTTTATCCTTCCGGAGCTCTTCTGTGGGACTCGAGACCGGTGAGGGGTGCAGGTGTCGCTCATCATCAATTACTCCACCAGCCTCGCTCCGTTCCCACGGCTCTCGGCCCCGCCCCCACTCGTCACACTGTGGGTTGGTGCTTTTCTCCAGGATTTATTAGCATTTGGTGAATTATCTCGGTCAGTCAATGACAGTGACTAAAGCACTATATGGACAGTGTTTTTTTCCTAAACAATGTTTGAATTACAATGATTAATATGAGTGTAATTTACCAGTTTTTTATCAGATCTTGTTTGCATGTGAATTATGTGCATTTTGTATTATTAAATATTATATTATAATTTATTTACTTCATTATTTTATCGATTTTATTTTCAATAAATGATTATATAATTATTTTAGAATTATATATTTATATAATTATATTTAATATTTTATTTTAATTATATTACAATTATATCTTTATTCATTTCATAATGTCGATCTAGTAAAATTTATATATATATATACTTTAATATTTTTAATTGTTATTTATTTATTTATTTATTTTTATTTTACATTGGCTGGATGCAATCACTACTTACCACAAACTGGTATTCTGCCCAGAAAGTTGGCAGTAAGGTTTAAAACCCATAACGAAGGTCCACCAGGCAGCAAACACAACAGGAAATTTAGCTGTAGTTTCAATATTAAATGAAGGTCAAAAATAAATGAAAAGCTGATTGCAATGACCGTGTAACAGAAGAGACATATACTGTATGTTTAAGAGACAATTCCCAGTAGCATAAACTGGCTTTTTTCCAGAGAGTCAAGTCCCTGTGTTAATTTATGACCATATGTTCTCACCTATTTTCTCCAGGGGCGAAGGAACAACTGGTGAGGTGTGGGTGGGATTCATGAATTTGCAATGGTTGTTGCATCTCTAATCTCATTTAAGACTTGCAAGACATTATTTGGGCTATACAGTAGTTTAAAGTATGGGAAAAAATTAACATTCTGATTATTGCTGCAATATAGTCTCTTAATTGTTGTTACATCTGATTGTTTCATTTTGATGGCTTTTCTTTGGAAATTAGATTTTCTAAATTAGAAAATCCTGTGATTAAAGATTTAATTTAAGCATTATTACTGATCTACTTCTATCAGAATAGGCACAGATGTGTTTCCAGCTAATCTTGTGCATTACATTTCAGTTGTACAGTCTTAAAATAAAGGGGTTTTCGAAGCAGTGCCATAGAAGTTCCCTAATTAACTTTTCAGTGAATGGTTCTTTAAAGGACTTTTTTTTCTTCATGTGAAGAACATTTTAATATTCTAAAGAACCTTTTTCCACCATAAAGAACCTTTGGTGCAATGGAAGGGTTCTGTGGATATTAAATGTTCTTCATGGAACCATAAATGCCAATAAAGAACCTTTATTTTTAAGAGTGTATTAATAGAAAACAGTCTGTGCTTGGGAACTGATTCTTGATTTGGATATAGAGCACAGTATTTTTAGTTGTGTCGGTAAACTTCTCTCACCAAGGAGCTTGTACCATTGCAGATACTATGGTGGCATTGCTTGGCCCCGTCCGAGAGATAATCACAGAGTAGACGTCAGGGTTAATCCGCTTAGGAAAAGGCAGGAGCTATTCGAGCCACTCCTTACTCTCCACTCTGGCATGGGGTTCACCTGTGGTCTTCACCTGAAGCAGAGGTAAGACGTATCATTTTCAGGTGAGGAGCATTAAATCTGGAAATCGCTTAATTGGGACGAGCGAGCATTTGGTTGAAGATTTAAGATTTGTTAATCTGAAGATCAGAGGTCTTTTGGTTGGAGTTTGGCCCTCTCTGCAGACTCACCTGCTTGTACGTGATACTAATTGAGAATTCTGAGGTCCCGCCGCCATGCCTTCCCTTCCCACTCTGAACCGCCTGGGGAAACTCTGCGGATCTGGACGCAGTCAGCAAGTGGATCGCACTCGGATCAAACGCACAAACTCCGTCAAACGCATATCTGTCATAGAGGACGGACGTGTGGCAGAAGTGCTGTACCTCGTCCCGAAAGAGTCTGTGATGCAACAGCTGCCGTTCATCAACCCTGAAGATTATTACCTGACTGAGAGCCTATCACCTGGTATGAACAGTTATGGAATAGCTGAATGTCATTTAAATTCGTTTTGCTCCAGAAATCGGTCAAATTTAGTCCAATGATCAACTGAGCAATGGTAATTGTACAGTTTAATGGTACGTTTATAAGAAACTTAGTGTGTCCTAGCTATGTTGTGTCTCTGCCTCCAACATGATTTCATTAGTATTCATATATTTGCATGTAAAGTGTATTTCTAGCACAAATACATTGGTATGCACACATTATTCTTTTTATCTTATTAGCGTAGGGGTGAGCGATATGACCAAAATCTTATATCACAATATAATTATTTTTGCTTTAAATAAGTTCTTTATGATATCAAAATTTTTGTTACCATACAAATTTCATAATTCTTGTCACCAGTGTCAATATCACAAACAACTAACTAGCCTAAATAAAAAAAAATAAAAAAAACTCAAGCTCACTGAAGACAAGTAAACAGTCAGCGAATAAATAAGTATAAGAAACTAATTACACGCAATAGGACAAAAAAAAAATACAATAGAACAATCAAATAAGAAATGCATACATTGTGTAATGAATAAAAACGCTGCATATTCATATTGTAAATCAAATATATATTTATTATTAAAGTTACAAAAGTGATTTTGTCAAGAGCAGTGAGAGATTTTCTCTCTTTTGTTGTTTGATTAACATGAATGACTATTAGAAGGAATATTAGACTGCTGTCACTTTAAGAGCTGCCCAGATCCAAAATACTGTTACACACGTGCTTTTTTTCTCAGTTGTATCCTTTCACATGAGACCTAAATTACTGTGTTTACGAGGATACTTGCAAAAACGGGGCATTTTGGCACATACAAGTGTGTGTACTTAACCGTTCAAAGCCTATATAGCGGCAAAAATAAATCGTTTAAAGTGCCCCTATTATGCCATTTTTACGGTTCCTAATATTGTTTTGGGAGTCTCATACAATAGGATTATATGCATGCAAGGTCAAAAAACGCTTTCATTTTCTCAAAATATGCATTTAATATAACCTCATTTTCCAGCGATTCTCAAACGATTCGTTCGAAGCAGTTCAAAGATTCAGTCTCTCTAAACCCCTCCTTTCCGTGAGCCTGCTCTGCTCTGATTGGTCAGATGGCCTAGTCTGTTGTGATTGGTCTACGGCGTACAGCGCGTGTTGGAAACGATACACCTATTTCAATAGTTCTGTATTTTGAACACTCTATAGAAAATATAAACATCTATTATTTATCATACAGGTTGTGATTCAGTGGAGAAGCTGGTCCAAATAAACAGGATACTGATCCATCTTTCAACAGCAAGCGTTTTGTGAATCCCGCGTTGAA